CTCCTCCTCCTTCTCCTCCTCCTCTGCCTCCGCCTCCGCCTCCGCCTCCCCCTCCTCCTCCTCCTTCTTCTCCCGACAAAGACGGGTGTCTGTCGACATCGATGAACGCATCCGGGTGTTATAAATTACATGTGGATTTTGAACCCCCTCGGTGCGTTCCCGGCTGAGGTACCTTTCCTCCTTCAACTTTCCAAGAGCATGTACGTTGCTGTCAAAAACGACAACGACGACGACGACGACAACGACGTCGACGGCGACGGCGATCGCGGCTGGCGGCGCACCTCTGTAGACCGTCCTGCCGCCTCCGCTCGAAGTCGTCCAGCCCCAGCTTGTGCCTTTCCGTGCGGGGATGGTTCGGGAGGGTCTGCCAGTCGTGTGTGTGGGGACGGGCAGGCCTGGCCTCACTTTCCCACTCCCCGTCCTCCTCCTCCTCCTTCTCCTCCTCCGCCTCTTCCCTCCCCCTCCTCTCCTCCTCCTTCCTCCTCCTCCTCTCCTCCTCCTCCTCCTCCTCCACCTCCACCTCCTCCTCCTCCTCTCCTCCTCCCTCCTCCTCCTCGTGCTCCTCCTCCTGCTCCTCCTCCTCGTCCTCCTCCTTCCTCCCTCCTCTTTGCCCTCCTTTCCCTTCCTCCTTCTCCGCATCATGCTCCCTCCTCCTGCTCCTACTCAGCCTCCTAAGGCTGCTGCTTATTCTGCTCTTCATCGGCCCACCACCCTCCTTCTCGAGCGCAGGAAGCAATCCGACGCCTCCTCCTCCTCCTCCTCCTCCTCCTCCTCCTAATCCTCCTCCTCCTCCTCCTCTCCTCGTAACCTCCATATATGCCTCCTTCTGCGCACAGCGCCTCCCATGCCCCGCCGCACTCCTCCTACCCAACCTCCAGTCCCTTCCCAAACTCCTGTATCCCTTCCAACCTCCCCGCCCTCGCTCCCAAATCATGCTCGCCAGCATACTACTCGTTCTCATTCAACTATTCCTCTTCCTCCTCCTCCTCCTCCTCCTCCTCCTTGTTCTTCTAATCCTGCTCCTCCTCCAGCTCTTAGGATCGACACTCCTCCGCCTCCTCCTCCTCCTCCTCCTCCACCCCCTCCTCCATAACTACCTAACTTCTGACCCCCTTCCCCCTCTTTTCGTAAGGCCCAACCCCGCCCTCTCGTGGGGCGCGTCCCGACTGGGACTCCAGCGCGGACCCACGGACCAAGCCTCGGCGACAAGGGGACGCCCGGAGGCAACAACCCCGCGGCAGCGCGGCGCTGGCCACGTCTCCTGGTCCTCCGCCTCCTGCTGTTGCTGCTCCTCCTTACGCGTCGGAGCCTCCTCCTCCTCCTCCTCCTCCTCCTCCTCCTCCTCCTCCTCCTCCTCCTCCCTGGCATTCCGGTCCCATCCTGTGGCCAGACGAGCGCTCGTACGCCTTTGCTCCCTCCTCTGCCCACGGCCACATGCGTCCCAGGCACCGCCCGCCGCCGCTCCGCCCGTCCGTCCCCCTCCTCCCCCGCGCGAGGGCGGGCCTCCTCCGCGCTCCCCCCTCCTCTGTGCTGGCGCGCGGCCGCCGCCAACGTCCTCGCCGCCGCCGCCGCCGGCGTCTGCAGCGCCGTCGCCGCGTGGCGCAGCGGCGCGCGGCGCCCTCGGCACGCCGGTCGCCGACGACGCCGTCGGCGCACGGCGGCGGCGGGGCGGCGCGGCGGCGTCTAGGCGGCGTCTGGGCGGCTGCGCGCCGCACGCCGAACGTGCCCGACTCGGGGAGCTGGGGCAGCACCTGCCGCGGCGGCTGCGAGGCGTGATCGCCGTCGAAGATGTCGCCGTCGCCGCCGGGGTTGTGCGGGCCGCCGCCGCCGCCGCCGCCGCCGCTTTCGCCGTCGCCGTCGCCGTCGCCGTCGTCGTCGTCGTCGTCGTCGTTTTCTGGGCCTGCTCGGGCCTCTGTATGGGGGCCCCTTCCTCCGAGGTCGCAAACCGTCCGTGACGTGGGCCCCCGCCAAGATCTCGACCCCTTCCTCGGGTCTGACGGTCTCACGTCTCATCCCAGCTCGGTTTTTGGGCGGTCCCGGCGCCGGGGGGCCGCCCCCAGGGGCCCAGGAACGTTGAACAAAAACTGCCCTCTCCTCCTCCACCCCCCCTCCTCCTCTCCTCTGGCCCCTCCCTTCCCCTCCCCTCCTCCCGCCGCCCACTCTCCCCCCCCTCCCCTCCACAATTATTCAAAATTGAATACTACTCTCCTCCTTCCCCTGATGACGGTTTGGGAATAGTCGCCCCCCCCCCCGCGTACTGTTTTTTTACACGCAGGATTCCCCGGAGTTGGGTTTTCGCCTACATGTTTTTCAAAATGCTGCTCTCGCTGAGGCGCCGGCCTCATTTTCGGGCCCCGCTCGTTCCGAATCGTGCTCCCGCTGCAGCGCTGGCCTCTTTCCGTGCTTCCGCTCGTTTCGAATCGTGCTCCCGCTGCAGCGCTGGCGTCATTCCCCGTGCCATGCCACGGCATGCAATGCAATGTTAGGTTGCGTTCCGTTGCGCGATGCCATGCCTTCAGCTGAAGCTGTAATATGCAGTGCTTAAGTGCCACGTCGTGCTATGCCATGCTACGCTTTGATCTTCAACGCCGTGCTATGCAATGTTTTGTTCGGGGCCGCTGTGCGATGCCATGCTTTGCGTTGCAAAGCTTTGTGATGCAATTCTTCACTACGCCACGCCACGCCATGCTGTGACATACTACGCTTTGCGGTGCTCTTCTACGCCATGCCACGCCGTGCTCTACAATGCATCGCGTACACTTTCGGGATCATTGCCCTGCTCGACATCCGACTGTGCGAGTAGAGAGGGGATCTGCGCCATGGTAAGGGATGGGAAGGAGGGGTAGGATGTCAGATCTGACGCGAGCGCACCTAGCTTCTTCACTCCCCCTCCCCCCCTCCCCTCCTCCCCACCCCCCTCCCCTCCTCCCTCCCCTCCTTCCTCTCCTCTTCCCTGGGAGAAGGAGGGGGTGAGGGACCCAGGCGTGCGACGTCCTGACTTTTCCAGCACGGCGCCCCCGCAGTCCCGACCCCTTCCCCAAAAGACCGGCTCCTCATCCTGAGCCGTTCCTCCACGGCTCCGGGGCCCGGCGAGGGCCTCCCGAGGCCGAACACGGCGAAAACCCTCCGTCCTGATTTTTATCTTCACGACGCGGTCATGTCCGGGGAGGCGGCGGTGGTGCACACGTTTGGCTCCCGCATTCTTGCGACGTCCGGGCTCGAGGGCCGCCGCCGCCGGGGCCGGCGGCGCGGGGAAGGCCGGCAGGCCTCGAGAGACTGGCGGCGGGAGCTGGAGCATTGCCGCCCCCATCCCAGCAGGAGGAGGAGGAGGAGGAGGAGGAGGAGGAAGAGCAGGAGGAAAAGCAGGAGGAGGAGGAAGAGCAGGAAGGAGGCAGGAGGCAGGAGGAGGAGGAGGAGGAGGAGGAGGAGGAACATCGGGACTTCTACGACAGCCACCACCTCTTCTTCAATTACCGCGGCAGGCCGATTCCTGAACCCCCTCACTTCTGTTGTTTTTGTTTGCCGCTTAACTTTGCCTGGGCTCCTCCTGTTGTCGTCTTCGTCTTTCCCCCCTTCCCTCCCATCCCTCTCTCACATGTGACGCCTGTGTCGACCGACTTGCCCTGACCGAGGTTGATAGGGCACCTCCTCCCCCTCATGGGCCGTACCCCACTGACCACCGTTGAGGACAGCAGATGCCCTGAATATCCGCTGGCGGATGCATAGGACATCTGTTTTCCTCCCTTTCGGCGGTTTACCCCCCCCTGCTCCCCCGCCTCTCGCTTGTCGTTGCTGATTGCGTTCGGGCCCGACAGGTACATCTCATATCGCTTCGCAGACCATCTAGGCAGAAGTATGCCACCGCGACCTGCAGATGCTCATGTTTTAGAACACTTGCTTCCTCCACGCGTCTGTTTTACTCCGTCATGCCCCACGCCTCGTCATGCACTTTTCGGGCCCCCCTGACCCCCAGGGCAGGGCGGGCCCCACCATTACGCCCATAGGCCAGCCTCACAGGCCAGCCTGACACCATGCTCAGCCGCAAGCTCTGGGACATAATATACACAGGCCGATGTACTCCGATGTTGCTCTTTCTCTGTTACTGGCCCGGCTTCGTCGGCCTAACAGGCCAGACTTGAAGAGGGGTGGGGCTGGGCTTGTTACGGGTGGGGACGGTGGGGGAGGAGCTCAAGATTGCTGCATTTCAGCAACAGCCTGCAAACGCTATTTATTTGATGAAGTGCTGGGCTGGGCTTGGAACGGAGGTTCAGCAAGCTTTACTAGATTTCTGGCACACTGCCTCAGAGTTCTCCCACTTCGCTAGTTCATCTTGCCAGGCTTTACCAGCGCAGCTCCAGAATGCCCCTCGTTTGTCTACTCGTCCCTCCACGCGCCCACCATTGTACACAGCCTAATGTATTCCAGCGTTGCCTCTTCACTGCGATAGGCCTGGCTGCGCCGGCCCAACAAGATAGACTTGGGGCTGGGTGAGCTTGGGCTCGTGACGGGTGGGAGTGTGGCGGAGAGAAGCTTCAGATTGCTGTAGTTCGGTAACATGCTAACACTTCTCCACGCTGCCTCTTGTGCTTACGAACTTTTTAATATCCACACTGCTCGCTCGCTCCTTCCCGTCTCGCCAGATACCTTTCGGGACCCCCTGCCCCTCCCCCCCGGAGGAAAAGAAAGAGGGCCGGAAGAATCGAGGAGGGAGGAGGCCACAGAGCCGCGAAGATCACCGAATCCGAAGCCCCCCGGATCGGCGGCACTGGCCGGAGGCCCTTACGATATCCATACTGCTCGCTCGCTCCTTCCCGCTTCGCTGGGTATGCCTTTCGGGACCCCCTGCCCCAGGGCGGGCCCCACCGTCTCGCCAGACAGGCCAGCCTTCCAGGCCAGCCTCATCACCGATTCGCGTGCAGGTTTAACGGCCATCCTTCTGAGCGCACCATCTCTTTACTCTTCTTGGCCTGGCTGCGACAGCCTACGCCGACGAGTGGAGATGAGGTGGGGGAGGAGCTTCAAACTGCTGCGTCTCTGCAACCTGCTCTCTCTCCACCTCGCCTCTCGGGCTCACTCGTCTTGCTGTTACATCCTGGTAGGCTCGCCAACTCAGTCTACCCATCGCATGTTGTAACCCGTCTAGGTCTATACTTCTCGCTCTCTCCTTCTTTCGCCATGTGCCTTTCGGGAGCCCCTGCTCCTTAGGGTAGGGTGGGCCCAACCGTCCCGCCAGACAGGCCAGCCTTACAGGCCAGCCTCATCACAAGCTTGCGTGCAAGTTTCAAGACCGTCCTTCTGAGCTCACCATCTCTTTGCAGTTATCGGCCTGGCTGCAACAGCCTAGCCGAATAGCACACTTTAGCGCTCCCTCCACGGAGGAGCCGAAGAGCGGGCCTACTGCTGGTTAACTGGAGGCCTACCTAGGCCAGAGGGAGTTTCCTACAGCTGCCCTACCAGGCCAGCCAATACCGACTTGGCCAGTCTCTTGTCTACAGTATCGTACATTTGCTGCACGCCTGAACCTAAACAAGGGGAGTGGGAGTGGGGTTGTTTATGGGTAAGGTGGTGGGATTCCAAGGTGCACCAAACACTGCAACTTTCGCGCCATCCTACCGTGCCACACTTCCGTGTACCATTTCCTTAGTTTTTGCACGTGTATTCTAATACTGTACCTCCTCTCTTCCCTCAAGTGTCGCGAGTAACACGTTTAATGCGCGTATAACGGCCAGTCTGATCTGAACAAGGTGGTGGGGTGTGTGTGTGTGTGTGATTCGTTGTGGAGGTGGAGGAGTCACAATAAGGTACACAGGCTGGCCGTGTTTAACCACCTGGCGGGCGCCTACTCTTTTTTCTGTGCTTCGCCATTATGTTTATCCTTCCTTTTCCGCGGCGCCCGCCAGGTAAATTGCAGTTTACCGCTGCGCCAAGTAGGTCTTTTTCCAACCCACGCAGCAGGCTTCACACCTAATGTCTGATCAACGCAAAAGGAGGAGGAGGAGGAGGAGGAGGAGGAGAAGGAGGCAGGAGGAGGAGGAGGCAGGAGGAGGAGGAGAAGATGAGGAGGAGGCAGGAGGAAGGGGAGGAGGAGGAGGAGGAGGAGGAGGAGGAGGATGAGGATGAGGAGGAGGAGAAGGAGGAGGAGGAGGAGGACGAGGAGAAGGAGGAGGAGGACGGATGAGGAGGAGGAGGAGGGAGGAGGAGAGGAGGGCCCAGCAGCAGCTGGCCGGTGAACCCGCACGCGACCTCAAGATTGTTCCTTCGCCCTTTGGAGCCCCCTGAAACGCCACTCTGCTTCTGGATGCTTGTCCACATCAAGAAGATCATCCCATCCCGCCCCCCCCCCCCCCCTCCCTCCTCTTCTTCCTCCCCTTCTTCCTCCCCTCTCATTCCCCTGGCCCACCACCTCCCCTTCTCCACCACCACCCCCGGTCCCCAACATCCCTCCATCTACCCAGCAAGCCCAAGCTGCTTCGCCGCCTGGTCCAAGCCCGGGTTCCTGTCCCTCACGGTCTCGCGCGCCGCGCGGGGAGGGGCAAGTCCCTGCGCTCCCCATGTTCTGCCCCTCGCCCACCTCGTCGTTCTCCTTCGTAGTTTTGCACCTCCTTCCTCCTCCCTCTCTGACTCGATCTCTCTGTAGACATATCTATATATGGTCACATGCAGATGTTTCATGGCATTTGCATACTTACATGTTTGTATGTGTGTATGTATGCACCTGTGTTTGCATGTTTGTGTGTGTTTGTGTGTTTGGTTGTTTGCGTGTATGTATGTATTTACAAAGGCATGTATGTACGTCTAGACGAATGTAGGCATGTATGTATGTACGTGTGTATGTGGATATGCATGTACGTACTTCTGCATATATGTAGGCAAGTATGCATGTATGTATGTTTGTATGCATGCATGCATGGGTGCATGTATACATGTCTGTGTGTATGTGTATGCTCGTAGGCATGGCTGCATGTATGTAGGCATGTCTGTGTGTATGTGTATGCTCGTAGGTGTGTTTGTACGTCGGCGTGTACGTATGTATGCATGTACGTATATATGTATGTATGTATGTATGTATGTATGTATGTATGTATGTATGTATGTATGTATGTATGTATGTATGTATGTATGTATGTATGTATGTATGTATGTATGTATGTATGTATGGAGTATGTATGTAAGTGTGAATGTATGTGTGTATGTATGTGTGTATGTATGTATGTATGTAGGTAGGTAGTAGGTAGGTAGGTATGTACGTACGTACGTACGTATGTATGCATGTATGTATGATGTGTGTATGTGCGTATGTATGTATGTATGTATGTATATGTATGTGTATGTATGTATGTATGTGTGTATGTATGGATGTATGTATGTAAGTGTGAATGTAGGTATGTGTGTATGTATGTGTGTATGTATGTATGTATGTATGTAGGTAGGTAGGTAGGTAGGTAGGTATGTACGTACGTACGTACGTATGTATGCATGTATGCATGTATGTATGTGCGTATGTGCGTATGTATGTATGTATGTATGTATGTATGTGTGTATGTATGCATGCATGTATGTATGCATGTATGCATGCATGTATGTATGCATGCATGTATGTATGTATGTTTGTATGTATGTATGTATGTGTGTATGTATGCATGTATGCATGCATGCATGCATGTATGTATGTATGTATGTATGTATGTTTGTATGTATGTATGTGTGTATGTATGTATGCATGCATGCATGCATGTATGTATGTATGTATGTATGTATGTGTTGTTGCGCACTTCCACACAACTCGAGTCACCGCCTCGAGCCGCACGGTCCCCGGGCTCGACGGAGCCCCCCCTCAGAGCTCGACGGAGCTCTCCCGCGTCTGGAGCTGCGCCCAGGGGCCACCCGAAAGGATGGGCCACCCTGAGCGCCGCCTCGGCGCCCGCCACAGCGAGCCCGCCAGCAGCCCGGCGCCCGCTCACGGCCGCGGCCGCTGAAGCAGGGGCCTACCCGTCCTCGGGTGCAAGCCGTCGCGGATGCGGTCGCTCCTGCGCCGCCGCTCCCGCTCCGCCGGCGTCGGCCGCTCGGCCTTGCCTGGGCACGCCTGCCCCAGCAGTACCGTCCGCTTGGCCGCGTACGCGCCGCACACGGTGCACGCCGTGTAGCCGTGCAGGTCCTCTACCAAGTGGAGCCTTCCCTGCGGCTGCGGCGGCGGCACAGCGCCGGCAGCGCTGGCCGAGGGCCGCTCCCGGGCCCCTCGCGGCGCCTCAGCCCGCGGCCGCAACGCGGCGGGCTCCTCCGCCTGCGCCGCAGCGCTCCGAGCACCCACCCGGGTGCGCCTCGCGCACCGTCGCACGGGTGCGCTGTCGAGCAGCGGGCGGCTCACCCCCGTTGCCGCCAGGGCTGGCCCCGCGCCCGCGACGGCGGCCCCGCCCTGCTGCATCGGCTAGCGGTGGCTACCCACTGGCCTCGCCGCCGTCTCCAGCTCCCTGCTGGGCAGCGTCCCAGGCCGCCGCGGCGACCGCCAAGGCCAAGCCCGCCGAGGCCCCTCCCAGCGAAGCTGCTGGGCTAGCCGGCGAATGGGACCGACGGCGTCCCTGCCCACCCAGGTCGAGCTCCAAGTTATTGTGCTCGTCCTTGCATGGCGCCCCCTCGGGCCACGCCGGCAGGCAAGTCTGGCGATTTTCTGAAAATTCCTGGACTCCCCTGCCGCAGCGCGGCGTCCCGCAAAGGCGCGGGTCAGGGCTGGCTGCCTGGCCCGCCGAGGGCGCGCCCAAAGCCGTATCGGCTGGTCGGGCACTCGCGTGGGGCGCCCCAACCTCCGGACCCAAGTCGAACTCGATGTCGCTGTACTCGCCAAGAGTGGCCCAGTCGCCAAGCTCCGCGGCCTGGCTGGCAGCCAACACCGCCGCGGCCAAGGTGGGAAGACGACCAGGGTCCCCATCGTCCCAAGCGGGCAGGGCCGTCGGGGGGCCACAGCTGCGTTCCCGACCGCGCCCTGTCGCCCGACGGAGGTGGCCACTGGCCACACTCGGGGGGGGCGCTGGCCCCCGAGCCTCCTCCTCCGTCCTTCGACGTGTGGGCGACGGGAGAGGTAATCCGCCTTCGCTGGCCCTTGGCCGACGGGACCCTTCCTCCCTCGTCCCATCTCCGTCGGACCCCCCCCCTTTCGGGGGTGCACGGCGACGCCTCTCGCTCTCGAACCTCGCGCGCAGACGTCATGAGGAGATCGTGCTCGCCCAGGGCCGTGCGGGCGGCTGCCAGGGGCGCCTGGGCTCCCGCCAAGGCCGTCAAGGCCGATGCCCCCAAGGCGCCCGACGCCGCCGCCGGCGCTGCCGCGGCCGCCCGGCTGGGCCAAGGCGCCGCGGGCGCTTCTGGGGGGCGCCGTGTGGCCCCGGGGGGGACAGGAAGAAAACAAAAAATATATGTTTCCTGTTGTGCCCGGGCCTCCATGGGACGCTGCCGCTGGACGCCCCGCCGAGCCCTGCGCGGGCGCCTCCGGGGGAGGCGCCGCGGCCGCGGTGACCTAGTCGGCGCTGCCGAGGCGTCCGGGGCCGTCCCAGGAGCTGCTGGGGCCGCCGAGGGGGCCGCCGCGGCCGTCGGGCCCGCCCCCGGGCGCTCCTGGAACGCCGCCAGCCCCAAAGAGGCCGCCTGCCGGGCCTGCCCGCCTTCCGGCCCGCGAGCCGCCGCCAGGAGGTAGGCCACCTTCTCGCATGTGCTGGCTGGCTCCACTGACTGCCCCACCTGCGCGGGTGGCGCCTGCAACGCGTCGACGCATTCCTCGCCGAGCTCCTCCTCCCGCCCCAGCACGGCGCCCATCACGGTGATGACGCTCTGGTTGCGCTCAGGCCGAAGTCGCCGCCACGGCTTCGGCGCGCAAGCGCTGACCCAGAAGCGGCGCTGGGTGGAGTAAGTGTTCGCACGCTTGCCACAGGCCAGGCAGCGGAGGCCCACCTAGTGCGCTGCACGTCGTGCTGCACCAGCGCCAGTGGCCGTGCTCCAGGCGGGCGTCGAGGCATGGCCCCCTCCTCAGGCTGGGCCTGCACGTCGTTCCAGACATCCACGCGCTCGTGCCACCACCCGATGTTGTGGAGTGCCCACTTGACCCGGTCGCTGGCCTCCTCGAGCGCCTGCTCTCTGCCGAAACCCGCGTCTTCGGCAGCAGCCTCTTTGGCTAAACGGTCCACCCAGTAGTTGCCCAACGCGGCCTGCTTCGTCTCGCCCTCCAGGGCCTCCATGACAGCTCTGCTGCGGTGCGCCTTGCAATGGCGCGCCCTGTCCACCGGGAAATCGAGGTCGGCGACGCGGGCCAGATGAGGCGCCAACATCTGCATGGGCCCGCTTGCCGCTGTAACACCAGGCGGCCCCCCGCTGGAGGCCCTGGACGATGGCCAAGTGATCCGTGTAGATGACGCAGTCGCCGCCGACATGCCGCAAGACGTGCAGCAAGGCCCAAAGCTCCGCTCGCTTGGTGGTCCGCTGCACCGGCAAGGTTACCGGAAGGGGCCCATGGGCCTGGACCTTGGGGCGCCCGCCTCTGTCGACCGACATCGCCCCCCCAGCCCGTCTGGGCCCACATGGACTTCACCAGTTTGGAACCGTCGCATACCACGACTCCTGCAAAGCTCGGGCCCCCATCGGGCTCAGGCTCGGGCTCGGCCACGCCCGCCGCCGCAATGGGCTGCGCCCGCATGCCAGGCTCACCTGCAATCAGGGCAGGTGAGGGCATCACCTGGGGCCCAACGGGCTCGGCTGCCTCCAGGCCGCCGCCGAACCCGAAGACGTCCTCCTCGTCGTAGGCCATGATCGCATCATGCGCCCTCCGCTGCTCCTCGAACGCCCAGAGCGCAACCGTGACCTGGCCATCCGCTGGCGCGGCCTCTGGGGACCCCGCAGAGGCGCCTGCCTCGGCGACGGCCAGCGTCTCGCCTTCGGGCTGGTCGCCCGCCGCCACGTGCCACGTGACGTTCTCCCCAACAGGCTGGAAGACCCAATCCGCAGCAGGATGCCGCACCAAGCCCCGCGTCCAGGTGATGTCGTCCGCCTCCTGCTCGGCGACGTGCTGCCATGTGCGAGGCGCCGCCGGGCGTGGGATTGCGGCCGCGGGCAGCAATAATATCTGTGGTGAGCGGTGCCAACCTCCGCGTGGCGCGCCTGGCAGTACGGCGAATCCACCTTCCCGACGTCGCGCAGCGACGCCTGCGCCCAGGGGCCGCGCACCACAGCCTGCTTCGCCGCATTGCGCGCGTGAGGCCCCCACTCGGGCGACGGGCGCGCCCTCAGCTTGGCCACCACTGGCCCCGGCAGCGGCCGCGGAGCCACCTGGGCCAGGTCGTCCGACGCCGTGCGCTCTGCCCAGATGTGGCACTCCAGGTCCACTTTCAACATGGCCTGCACATCCATGGGGCATACGTCGGACAAGCGCAGCAAGTGCCCGTCCCGCGTGCGGAAAGTGCGCCAATCGGGCCAGCTCCAACCCGCCCTCCGCAAGGACATGGTGACCGCGCCGGCGGGGCCGCGCACCGCGCTCCAGCCGCGCCCCATGCCCACCTCCCACTGCTGCCTGCGCCAGGCCTGCATGAGGATGGACTCCGAGAAGCCGCCCTCCCAGATCACCATGGCCCACTCCACGATGGGCGCCGCCGTGACGCTGTAGACGGGGTCCTCCCACCGGCCCTCCACCGCCAGTCGCAAGGTCAGGGACGCGCCGCCGACTCGGCCTCGCAAGGCACAACACGCCGCACGGCGCAGCGTCAGCAAGCTGGTGTCGGACATCCCCAAGCACTTGCTGCCACAGGTGTTGCAGGGCTCGAGGCCCGACCGAAAGACTGTCGCCACCTCCTTTTGCCATCCTGAGCCCTTGCCCGCGAGAGGACTTGAGACGCTTGGACCGCTCCCGCAGCATGTGGGTCCGCTGCTGCCGTGTGCGGCGCGCCGCAGTCTTCGACAGGGGCATGTCCACCCCCAGATGCACCCCGTCGCCCGTACCCTGACTCCTTTCGCCCGCATGCCCGGAGTCAGCGCAGCCCCGGAGCCACGGCGTGCTGGCCAGCTGCATGCACTTCCCACCCTCCCCCAGAGAGAAGGCGAGGTCGACCTCCGCAAAGGTGTCAAGGGCTGCCTGTACGACCACTGGCGCTTCGCCCACTAGGTCTCGCTGACGCCCTTGCTGCTGGGCGCACAGGTCGTCCACAAAGAGCTTCCAGTCCACCTGCGGGCACCTCCTAACCAACTGGTCCATGCCGCTCATAAGCAGCATGCGCAGGAGAGCCACCGAGAACTTGCTGCCCGCCACGATGGCCGTCTGCGTGCACACCTCGTCGGTGTAACACCTGCCCACAACCATGGTGCGCGCCATCGTGAAGACGGACATGACGACAGCAAGCACCGATGGCGGGAAGCCCCACTGCAGCCCCGCCTGCCAGAGCTTGATAAGCGGCACCCGCTCGAACGCCTTCACGAGGTCCATGATGGCAGTGGCGACCGCCTCGTCGTCGGGGTCGTCCGCCGCCGCGTCGACCGCCTCGTTGCAGTCGTGCGCCACCAAGACCTCCCACGCCGCCGACTCGGCGCCGCGCCCGCTGGTAGTGCGGTCCCACGTTATGGGGTGGTCGCGCAGCCATTGCCGCAGGTAGGGTAGACGTATCTGCTCCCACACGCGCACCAGCGTTGACAAAAGTCCTATGGTGCGGTCCTTGGTGGCCGACTTGGGAATGAGGAACACACTGATGCGGTCTACCTGCGCTGGCCAGATGAGGGTGCGCTCCACTTCCTCCAGCACGCCCAAAACCGCCATCTCCCCGGCCGCCGAAACACCAACGAGCAGCTCGGGGTGCCACCGGTCGACTCCGACGCCCGTCCGCTTTTTGAAGCGCTTCGCCGCCTCCGTCAAAGATCCGGGCTCGAAGGGCGGCAGCGCCTCGCGCGGCTCCGTCAGCCACGGGCGGGGCTCGTCTTGGGCCGGCTGCCCGACCTGCCAGACCTCGGACCAGTCGGCAAGGGCTATGGCCGCCGCACGGTCAGGCGCCGCCGAGGTTGCCGGGCTCCCCGTGGCACGCGGCTGCCACTGCGGCACTGGCTTGCTGAACCTGTGCAGGAGGCCAGCGGCGCCCTCGGCCGCCTTGGCCAGCTTGTCCTGCCAGCAGGACTATGTATGTATGTATGCATGCATGCATGCATGCATGCATGTATGTATGTCTGTATGCATGCATGCATGCATGCATGCATGCATGCATGCATGCATGTATGTATGTATGCATGCATGTGTCATATGTATGTGTGTATGTATGTGTGTATGTATGTATGTATGTATGTATGTATGTATGTATGTATGTATGTATGTATGTATGTATGTTATGCATGTATGGGTGTGCATGTATGTGTGGCTGCATGCATGTATGCATATGTGCATGTATGTGTGAATGTGTGTATGCATGTGTGTGTGTGCGTCGGTGTGCTAGGATTGTTTCTATGTGTATATGCATACATGCACGTAGGGGTGCATGTATGTATGCATGGGTGTATGTATGCATGCTTACGCGTGTGTATGCATGTAGGTGTGTATGTATGTATGTCTGTATGTATGAATGTGCGTATGTATGTATGTATGTACGTACGCATGCATGCATGTATGTATATATATGTATATATATGTTGACTAGTATAATGCCCCCACCAGGGAGGCCGCCACGGAGAGATCGACAGGGCGAGAGGGGAACGGTCGGGCCACGGCCCGTCGCACCTGGACGATGTATTTTCCACTCTCCAGGCGACCACGTCGCTGGCGACTTGTGTGAGAGAGAGGCTAGCCACTCCGAGGGGCCGCCGGCGTCTGAGGTCCAGGAACGCCGGGGCCGAAAAGGCGTCGGCCAACCAAGTCCAGCAGCTCATTAACAGAACATTAACAGTACCTATATGCAAAGGGTGGCACGCGGGCGGGGAGCAAAGAGGGGCTGTAGAGAGTTCTGTTCAGCCGTATCCTGGTACGGCACACGGTGGGGAAGGCCCGCTGGACAACACATAGCGCGCGAGCACGTACAATGTTGACTAGTATAATGCCCCCACCAGGGAGGCCGCCACGGAGAGATCGACAGGGCGAGAGGGGAACGGTCGGGCCACGGCCCGTCGCACCTGGACGATGTATTTTCCACTCTCCAGGCGACCACGTCGCTGGCGACTTGTGTGAGAGAGAGGCTAGCCACTCCGAGGGGCCGCCGGCGTCTGAGGTCCAGGAACGCCGGGGCCGAAAAGGCGTCGGCCAACCAAGTCCCATATCACAGACTGGAGAGCAGCTGGGGAGAAATTCCCATAACACTCCACTGGCCCACGGCCGCAAAGAAACTACTCACGCTAGAAAAGAGAGACCGCGAGCCTCGGCCTGGCAGGCAGCGGATCGGACAGCAGGCGGAAGCTTGCGGATGGCCGCGAGGAGGCGGCCAGCCTTCTCATACCTCTGCACGCTGCGAAACGAGGCCCAGCGCCCGCGCGCCTGGATCTCGGGCAGCGTCCTGGCACGGCGGAGGAAGTCCTCACTGGGCCCCCCGTGCCTGGCGAGGTGAGGCGTGACTTTGAAAGGGATGCCAACGGCCCGGGCGGCCCGCTGCAGCACTTTATTGTACGAGACATACGTGTGGCTAGGGAGCAGCGTCTGCGAGCGGGCACGGCGGGCTTGGCGGATGAGGGCAGCGAAGGCACCGACTACGCCAGGTCGACTGGCCTCATCAAGGAGGACGGTGTCATCCTGCACGCCGGTCTTGCTGGTACGGATGCCGATGAGCTGGCCGGCCACCTGGCTGGACGGCGCGACAACCATCCCGTACTTGTTGTAGTGAACCCCAGCGTGCATGCCCGGCGTGAAGCACGCGACCAGAGGCATGAGCACCAGCTCCGAGGGCCGCAGGTAGGTGTCGAACTGCACAACGAGGCCGCGGGCGGCCTCGAGGTCGGACTCGACGCCGGTCCGCGACAGGTGGTACGCCATCAGCACAGCGGCCGACCACGGGAGGGGATCCGAAGTCGAGTCAGGCTCCAGCTTGCCCCAGCCAGCCATGGCAGCGCGAGCGAGCGGGAGGACCCCAGGCTGGCGGAGGCTGACGTTGAAATGGTCGGCGACAGCCGCCAGCACATACCGAGCATCGCCCCGCGACCGCTCGGCTACGAAGAGCTCCTCGAGGAAGCGGTCGAGGGCGGCGTCGACGGCAGGGAGGTCGCGGGCGGTCCAGCGCGCCGGGTCCAGGCCCATCTGCGCGGCGAACTCGTGCAGGCTGGCGTGGTACCGCTCGGCGGTCGTGGCGGTCACCCTCGAGCGCCGGAGGAAGCCAGGGTTGTAGTCAGCGGGCTCTCGCCGGACGCGAGGCCGCCGCGCGGCAACGGCAGCGGCGGGGCGTCGGCGCACCGGCCCGCGGCCCTCGGACGGAGCCTCCTCCAGCGGGGGGCCTCGGGGGCCCCCAGACGCCGCCCCACTGCTCGGCGTCCGACCTCCAGAGCGGGGCCCAGCGCGAGGGACAGGTCGGGCACGGGAGCGCCCGAGGACCGAAGTCGCAGCCCGCCGCCCGGCAGAGACCAGCCTGCCATCGTTCCTCGAGTAGTGGAGCACCATCTGGCCTCCTGGCGCCGCGCGGCGCCGCCGCTGCCAGGATGCTGGCAGCGAGATGGCAGGCGCCCGGGGGGTACGCGCCGGCCAACGTGGTCTTCCACTGAAGCTTGAGCCCTCCCGTGGGCGCACGGACACGTACCTTCCCAGACAAGTGCTCGTGCCTGCGGCCCCCTTCGCAGAGCAGGCCGATGTCGTGCAGGGCCCCCAGACTTGAGACGATAGTGGTGGGCTTCTTGTAAGGCGCGCCGAACCGGCAGCAGTGGTAGGTAGCCCAGGAGCGCGAGTGCTGGTCCAAGAACTTCCGGAGTGGGGCCCATCGGAAGAGGCCCGAGGACTGAGGGTTCTCAAGAGACCAGTGGATCCCGTAGCGGCTGCAGACCTCCAAGAGACGCACCGTGACGTGAGCACACCGTCGGGCCGCCCTGATGGCGGAGACCTCGCGAGCCCCTCGCCGAGAGATGGACCACGGGGTGCACGGGGTGCCGAAGTGGACGAACCAGACGGCCCGGGAGGTGATCCAGGAACGCACCTGAGACTCGACCTTCGGGTTGAGGAGGTCGCACCAGGGCCCGTGCTTGATGTCCATGGGGGCCGCGACGACGAGGCCCGCCTGGGCCAGGGCACCGGTCCAGCGCCCGCAGCCCGAGAAGACCTCCAAGGCAGCCCGGGGTCGCGGAGCCCGCGCAGCGGTCGGCGTAGAGAACGCAGACGTAGCAGGAGGCCGAGGAGACAGACCGTGATCTGACGTTTCATCCACTCGAATTGGCTGCATCCTGGGCCCACACCGGCCCCAGCGGCCGGCCGAGCCACGACAGGGCGGCGGCCGGCGGCGGGCGGAGCCCGCGCCTGCGAAAGCGTGGCCGCCACGCGGCCGCCTCGGCCAAACCACCGAGGGCGCCGAGAGGCCCGGCGGGGGCGCGAGCCAGGCGGGCTTGCGCGGCCCCTGCCGGCCTCGCCGAAGGAGCACGTCACGCGGGGGGGCCGGCACGCGCCTGGGGTGCCTCGGCGGGCCGTCGCGGGGGAGCGGCCGAGGGGTGTGACGGCAGAGGTCTGAATCCTCCCCCCCTCGTCGGCACGCTGGGTCCCCCGCGACGGCGGGCGGCGCCAAGGCGCCGGCAGCCCGAGCGGGGCCCGCAGCGCCAGCAGCCTGTCCCAGGGGCGGCGGCGGGGGCGGGGCCGCACCAGGCCGTCCCGCAACCCCAGCGGCGCCGGCGCCAGGTCCCACGCGACGCTGCCCAGGGCGGTACAACCCCTGCAGGGCCTTGCGCGAGCCACCATCGCTGACGTTCCTCCCTGTGTCGAGGTATCGGCGCCGCCAGCGGATGCCGGTGGCCACCTGGATGGCGGCACTGCGCCTGCACACGGAGCCGAGGCCGACGTCGACGGCGCGGCCCTTCTCGGTCGAGAGCACCTCGGCCATGTTGTCCCCGAGGCTGAGGACGCGGCGCCCGTGGCACTCGAGGCTCCTGGAGGCGTGCCGAAGCCCCGCGAGGGCGATCCGGGCCTCCAGGATATGGATGGGCGCCCGCGTCCTCCATGCACCCTCCACGACCAGCGACCAGGCTTCTGGGGCGACGAGCTCGTCGGGGATGTCCTCGAAGGTCGCGCGCCGCGGTGCCTGTGCAACCCGAGCCCGGACGGTGCCGTGGGGGCGCTCGTCGGCCCTCCTCGGCGGCGGGGCCCAGGTCGCGATGCCGCAGCTGGGGTCCCCCTCACCGAGCACCCCTCCAGCGCCAGGAAGCCAGCCGGGCGTGTAGGTGTCGTCCTCCAGGGCCTCGGGCCGCTTCTCGTCGGGCGTGAAGCGCCAGCGCTCCCGAAGGCGCGCGAGTCGGCGCACCGCCTCGGGGTCGCAGCGCCGGCGGTGTAGGGCGTAGCCCGCCTCGGAGGAGTCGGAGCAGAGCACGATGTCCGACACGGGCGCGGCGAGGTCGACGACCGCCTGGAAGATGAGCCCTCGGAAGACGCTGACCTCCTGCCGAGCGGGACTCGGTAGAGGGGAAGGCGGCCCGAGCCGGCACTCGTCCACGTACCTGTAGAGGTGGCGGAAGATGGACATGGCCGGCCGCAGGAGGAGGCAGTGCTGGATGAAGTGTCCGAGGACGACCCGCACCTGCCACGCGGCACGGGGCACGCCCGGGCGCTCCAGCTCCAGGCAGGCGAAGTGGAGCCGCCAGGCCCGCTCGTCGGAATGACGCAGAGTCCGACGGACGCCATCATACACCACGCCCACCATACCGAACTCGAGGGACGGCTCGCAGACCTCGTGGTACACGATGCCCCGGCGGTCGAGCTCCTCCATGACGCTGGCCAGGCCCGCCGCGGCATCGGCGGCGGAGAGACCCAGGATCCCCACGTTGTCGACGTAGACGGAGCCGGCGGGCCTGCCAGGGGCCGCCGGGCGCGGCGGCTGACGGTCCAAGACGAGGCTCGCAGGCCCGCCCGTGAGCGCGTGACCCACCCACGAAGTGACCGAGGAGTGAACGACCCAAAGGGCCCAGCTCCAGCCCATGGCGACGCCACGGAAGGCGGGGAACACCACGTCGTCGGCGCCGACGGGGATGAGGCGGCCGTCCTCCCAGACGTGCGTCGCCCCGTACACCGACGCGGGCTCGGGGTAGTCCATGCCGAAGTCCTCGGCGAGGGCGTCCGAGCAGAACTGGTAGAAGCTGTCGGCCAGGTCGAGCGAGGCACCGTAGATGGCGGGCGCCGAGGTCGCGTCGGAGGCTCCCAGGGCAGCGTCCGACCAGTCCTGCTCCGCCAGCGCGGCCGGGGTCCCGAGGGCAGCGTGCGGTGGGCTCCAGTGGGTCCGGTTCGTCTCGCGGGCGTCGACCACGAGCCTGATGAACCCCCCCTTCTTCTCGACGAAGAAGCAGCCCACGCGAGCACGAATGCGCCGACGGTAGCCGACAAGGCCTCGTTCCGCCAGGCGGCGGACAAACCTGACCCGCGCGTCGGGCGAGCCAGCGAGGTGAGGGTCCCAGTAGGGCACGATGGGGTCGAGCCCCTCCGCATCAGCCAAGAAGACCCTGTCCGGCTTCCGCACGTACCGATCGGGGTCGGCGAAGGCGCGGACGACGAAGTCGGGGCAGATGTCCTCGACGCGCTTCGGGACGATCTTCGACTTCCAGAACTTGAGCTTGTCCTCACTGTAGGGTGCGACCTTGGAGGGCGCCCCGGCGTACAGCGAGTCGGACTTGAGGAGCTCCTGAAGGGCTCCGCGAGGGGTGAGCCCAGGCGGCCGTGGGCCGTGCCGGCCGATGTTGCGACGCAGGTGAGCGAGGCAGCTGGCCTGCGTGGCGGAGGGCGCGCCGGGCGTGGTGGAGCCACGGGCTGGCACGCTGCCGAACCCGTGGACCGAGGCACGGGAGAGGTCGTTGATCGAGCGAACGGCCTCCCGAAGTCGGTGTTCGCGACAGCGTCGACGTACGGCACGGAGGGCCAGATACCTCGGCGCGTCGGCCAGGTCCACGAACCCAGAGGGCTGCGGGACCGGAAGTGGCAGAGGCTCACCGTGACGACGATGATCGCGACGAGCCATGCCCAAGAAGACAAAACTGCGGACGTGGAGGAGCCCACGCCGAGAAGGCCGGCCCAGCGGCGCGGGGCGGTGAGCCCGCGGGCTGGGACGGCAGGGCAGGGGGCCCCACGCCCGCCTACCCGCTGCCCTCCTTCTTGGGGTGCTTCGGCGGCTTGTCCTTCGAGCCGCTCGCCGAAGTCTCCTCCCGCCACTGCCTCCCCGCCTTCATGATGGCCGCCTCGGACCGCTGCTGCTCGCCGACCCAGGCGTCGAAGGCCGGGAGCACGAACCCGCCGGACTCGTCGATGGCGGCGTCCAGCACCACGTCGAGCCCGTCGAAGTCGGGCTGCCTCGGGTTGCGCCTGGTGGCAGCCTCGAGCTGCTTCAAGCGGCGCACCATGTACTCCACCCCCGCCACGTTGTAGAGGTCCAGCTGGTCGAACTGCTGCATGATGCGGAGCACGGAGCAGAGCATCCGGTGCTCGCGGGCGGTGTTGCTCTTCTCCGGGATGCCGGACCTCCTGACCCACGTCGTGTGGTGTTCGTCCCAACCCTCCTGTCCGGCATCCCGAAGAGCGAGGCAAGCCTCGCGCGTAGCCCGCTTCCCTTTGAGGGGCCATCCAGGGATGGCCTGCTCTCGCATCTTCGAGACGGAGGCGCGGAAGCTCATGAAGCGATCCTTCTCCTCGTCCCGCTCGTCGCCAGCGATGCGCGGGTCCCGACCAGGACCTCCGCGCGCCCGAGCCTGCCACTCCTCGAAGGAGCCGCCGGCCTCGACACGCACCGCCGTCTGCCAGACGTCGTCGATCAGCACGAGGCCCACCTCGCCCCGGCGGATGAGCACCTCGTCGTTGCCCACGGAGGCCGCGGGCACCTCTTCGCCATACTGGGGCGAGGTCGGGTCCGAGACGAACCACCGCTCGTCCCGCGCGAGGGGGGCCGCCGAGGCGGGGTACCCGAGGATGTCCCCCAGCGCCCGCGCCTCGCGGTAGTACTGGTGCATCTCCTCGGCGTCCACATCGGCATCGTCGAACACGTAGATGTTGCCACGGTAGCGGTCGGGGAAGGCTCCCCCACGCTGGAGGGCGACCACTCGGAAGCCCCCCAGGTTGGCTGCCGCGATCTCGCCGTCGGGAGTCACCCACACCCACCATTGGTCCGGCCCCTTGACGAGGAGGACCCTGTGGTGCCATTGGAAGTTCTCGTCGTCGTCGTACCGCACGAGGCACTGGGCGTAGGGAACGTCAAGCGCCCTCGGCATTCACGGCGCCAGCCCGCCTCCGCACTCGCTGGAGGGTCGCCGGCGTCGCAGCACCCACGAGCTCCCCAGCAGGACCCTCCGCGAGGGCCAGCGGCGGCAGGACCGCGCGAGGCGGCCCCGCCCGAAGCAGCCAGGCAGCCGCGGCGGCCACCCCGGCGGCGAAGCTCGCGAGCCCGACGAGGACCACGAGCACCCAGGCCCCGGACGGAGCCGCTGGGGCCGGGCACTGCGGGCACACGCAGGCCGGGCACGCGGGGCAGGCCGCCCCGAGGTGCTCCGGGCCGCAGCGCGAGAGCTGCTCCCGGAGGATGTCCAGCACGCCCGAGCTCGGCTCGTGCCCGCTGAAGATGCAGGTGCAGGACGGGTCCGCGGGCGGAGCCGGCGCGGACCAGCGGGACGCGAGGATCCCAAGAACCCAGCCAGCCGCCGCCTGCATGCACGAAGCGGCGAGACTGGTGCCCAAGAAAACTTGAGCAAAGAGGGGCTGTAGAGAGTTCTGTTCAGCCGTATCCTGGTACGGCACACGGTGGGGAAGGCCCGCTGGACAACACATAGCGCGCGAGCACGTACAATATGTATGGATGTATGTAAGCATACCTTCATGGTTGCGTGTGGGTGCGTGTATGTGTATATGTGTAAGCATGTATGTATGTGTATAGGTGTATGCATGCATGCATGCATGCATGCATGCATGTATGTATGTGTGCACGTATGCGTGCAATACGTATGTGTGTGCGTATGTAGGTACGTACGCGTGGCTGTGAGTACGCATGCGTATGTGCATGCATGCAGGCATGTATGTATGCATGTATGCATTAATACATGTATGCATGTATGCATGCATGTGTGTACGTATGTCTGTACGTATGTAGATATGCATGCATGCATGCATTCATGTATGTATGCTGTGTGTGAATATGTCTGTACGTATGTACGCATGTATGCATGTATGTCTGTCTGTCCGTCGTTCTGTCTCTGTCTGTCCGTCTTTCTGTCTCTGTCTGCCTGCCTGCCTGCCTGCCTGTCTGTCTGTCTGTCTGTCTGTCTGTCTGTCTGTCTGTGCGTGAGTGCGTGCGTGCGTGAGTGCGTGCGTCAGTGTGTGTGTGTGCGCGTGCGTGCGTGCGTGCGTGCGTGCGTGTGTGTTATCTCTCTCTCTATCTCTCTCTCTCTATATCTCTCGCGCTCTCCCCCCTTCCTCATCACAAGCACCGCGCAGGGCGACGACGACAACGACGACGAGCAAGGATGAGAATCGCCGATGGGAGGGATGAGAGAAGGAAGGCGATCAAGAGCAACGTAACATCACCATCAGGAGCACGGGGCGGCGGGCGGACGGAAGACGGATACGGGCCGGACGGAGGCGGGAGGGCGTCTTTGCCTCTCTCGCCCCTTCCACCTTTTCGCCTTCCCATGCCCCTTCCTGCTTCCTCCCCAGCTGGGCCCGACCTGCGAGCCTCCCTTCCCCCCCCTCCTCCTCCTCCTCCTCCTCCTCCTCCTCCTCCTCCTCCTCCTCCTCCTCCCTCCTCCTCCTCCTCCTCCTCCTCCTCCTCCTTCCTCCTTCCTCCTTCCTCCTTCCTCCTTCCTCCTTCCTCCTTCCTCCTCCTCCTCCTCCTCCTCCTCCTCCTCCTCCTCCTCCTCCTCCCCCTCGTCCTCCTCCCCTCCTCCCCTCCTCCTCCTCCTCCTCCTCCTCCTCCTCCTCCTCCTCCTCCTCCTCCTCCCTCCCTCCTCCTCCTCCTCCTCCTCCCTCCTCCCTCCCTCCTCCCTCCTCCTCCTCCCTCCTCCCTCCTCCCTCCTCCCTCCCTCCTCCTCTCCTCCTCCTCCCTCCTCCTCCTCCTCCCTCTCCTCCCCCTCCTCCCTCCTCCCTCCTCCTCCCTCCTCCCTCCCCCTCCTCCCTCCTCCCTCCTCCCTCCTCCCTCCCTCCTCCTCCTCCTCCTCCTCCTCCTCCTCCTCCTCCTCCTCCTCCTCCTCCTATTCCTCCTCCTCCTCTTCCTTCTCCTCCTGCCGTGCAGTGACCACGCCGCATGCGTGCCCTCCTCCGCCCCGCGGGTGCCCTGTCCCTCCGCGCAGGCTCCCGGCCCCGCCCCGCTCTTGCTCACCTCCGCCTCGCGAATGCTCGCCTCCGTCTCGCGAGTGCTCTCCACTTCGGGGATCTGCTGACCCGGGTCAGTCCAGACCCGGGTCAGCAGGAAACGAAAAAACTGCAACGCAAGAACAAAAACTGAAACGCAGGGCTTCGCAAACCCGGGTCAGCCATTATGTGCGGCCACTTCGCGGCCACGAGCGGCTCGCTGACCCGGGTCAGCCCGAGAGGGTCTCCTCAAGATCCTGCAAGATCCGGTACCCTGGCTGACCCCCGTTTGCATTGACCCCCGTCTCCGGAACCTCGATCCACTGCGCCGTCGGCGCGCACGGGCGAGGAGGAGGGGGGAGATGAGGAGGAGGAGGAGGAGGAGGAGGAGGAGGAGGAGGAGGAGGAGGAGGAGAAGGGAGGAGGGAGGAGAGGAGGGAGGAGGAGGAGGAGGGAGGAGGGAGGAGGAGGAGGGGAGAGGAGACGAGGAGGAGAGGAGGAGGAGGAGGGGAGAGAGGAGGAGGAAGGAGGAGGAGGAGGAGGACGAGGAGGACGAGGAGGACGAGGGGGAGGAGAGGAGGAGGAGAGGGAGGAGGAGGAGAGGAGAGAGGAGGAGGGAGGAGGAGGGAGGAGGAGGAGGAGAGAGGAGAGGAGGAGAGGGGGGGAGCCATCCCATCAAGCAGATACGTAGCCCTAAACCCATACATGCACCATACGATGACCACAGCATCTTCGAGCGCGAGATTCAGATCTCCCGAAGCACGAACCGACTTCACAGGGAGGAGCGATCCACAAAGAGCAATTTGCATCGATGACCGCAACCGACAATACAGCCCAAATGACTCGCACGACCATACCTACCAGCAGCAGCAGTACAATCACAAGCACAATGCCAGCAACCACACCTTCGCCCGCGACACCCAGCCCAGCTCACCGAATCTCCTCAAAACACGCCCAACCCAGACCCCAAGCCAGTAAGATACAAAGCCCCACCTGCCATACCGATCTTCAAAGAAGACAACACAATACACGCAAAAGACAAGACCGACCACGCCGATACGAGCACAGAGCTGGGAGCACCCACAGCAGGAGAACAACACATGCACACTACCGGATCCAGCACCTGCGACCCGATGCCAAGCATTACTACGCCCAGCACGGACGACAACGCCCCCCACCCCCCGATGCAAGTGGAACCACAGAGGCCCACCGGATGGTTCCCAGTTGCGACGATCACCCAAGAGAAGGTAAACCCCAACACGATCACCTTCCCTGTGGGAGCCACCACAGGCTACCCTTACCACACAAAGCTCGAGGACTCCCTTGCCCACGGCACCATCACAGTCAACGAGGGCGACGAGGTCACAATACTCAACACGCCCTCCAACAACAAAAAGCGAGCTCTGGGCACGCGGCACCATCACTCAATCCAGCAGCACGCGAAGCAGTAAACAGGCCCTGATCGCAGACGTCATCACCGAATACCGATCCCACTACCACGACATCCTGGACAAGCTCGACACCCTCGCCACAATGGCAGGGGAACCACAGGTCAGCTACAACACGGTCGTAGAAATTCAGAAGGAGATCACCTCGGCCAACGATTTTGCCCACCAGTTCCTCGACGAGCTCAACGACTATGTCACCCAACTACGCCCCTAACCACTGGCGATAGCCATCCTCGCGACTGTGCGAAGCCGCACGAGATGCCAACGCGCCCGACGCCGACCACAGGTACTACTACCCACTCCGACCTCGAACACTCCACCACCCAGCTCTCGCGGAACTCATCGGCATCCACCTCCGCGCCTACTCCAGCTCCCGCGGATGAGCTCATCGGCATCCACCTCCGCGGCTACCAAAACCACCTCTGAGGCCAGCTTGAGCGCCAACTATAGCAGCCTCGCCGACAGCTACGCCCTCAACTGGGCCGCCCTCGCGTAGCACCGTCACCTCACTCACCTCCTCCGTTGATCTGATTATCCTCCACCTATCTCTCTGCCACGTTCCACCATGCTAGGACATGCGGATGCCTCTACACTTCTGGGTGGGGGGGAGGCGGACTTGATTGGAGGGGTGGAGGGGAATGACATACACAGACACAGTTGCGACTGCCCCACCAACCCACTGCGCTTAGGCTCCTAGGACCGCGCCTAGAGTCGAGCTCAGGGTCAGCTAAGACTCTGGTGCTCCTCAAAAGTAGCAACGGCACCCGCTCACCTCCTCCCTAGATCTTGCTCCTCCTCTCGCGCTGTCATGTTCCGCCACGCTATGCCAGAGACCTTAGTCCCTGCCACCTACTGGTTTGACGGTCGGTTGGGGATCTCTTTTACCCCATTCCAAAAGAGCAGGCGAACCGCAGCCAAAAGAGGAGGATAACTGCAGCACTCTGACTTCTACCCTCAGAGCATGCGAACTGCAGCACCTCCATCCCCCACCGACCATTTTACTGTTCACCGCATTGTCTGCCACCGCGTCCTCATGGTTCTCCTCCACCTCTCTCGCTGCCACGTTCCACCATGCTAGGACATACGGATGCCTCTACACTTCTGCGGGGGACGTGGATTGGGGAAGGGTATGGGGCTGGTGGGGTCGGGGAACGGAACTGGCCTATGGCCCCGCGCTCCTACCCGCCCACCTACCTCCGCTTAAGGCGCCTCCCCCTTCCCCCACCTCATTGTTAGTGATCTGAAGCTCTCTACATTGCTTCGATTTCCCTTTTCTCACCTTTTCCCTACTGGGCCCCCCCTCCAACCCTGGTCCTTGCCGGGCGGGAGGGACAGGAAGGGTGTGCATGGCTGCAGGAGCACCCATGACCGCCATGAGTGAGTGAGTGAGTGAGTCAGGAGCCATGTGTAGGTGCGCACCGTCGAGGAGGGGAGGAGGAGGAGGAGGAGGAGGAGGAGGAGGAGGAGGAGGAGGAGGAGGAGGGGGAGGAGAGGAGGAGAGAGAGGAGGAGGAGGAGAGGAGGAGGAGGACCAGGAGGAGCCATGTGTAGGTGCCCTCTCTTCCGCCTCGTGCGCGCTCGCCTGCGCGCCGCTCGTGTTCGGCAGCTCCCGCGCGGGGCGGGGCAGCTCGGGCGGGGGCGGGCCGGCACGCCCAGGCCCGGCGCGCCCCCGCAGCCCGGCGCCGCCGCCCTCGCGAGCCCGCAGGGCGTCGAGCAGGGGGCTGCCACCACGGAGCCCTCCTCCTCCTCCTCCCTCCTCCCTCCTCCTCCTCCTCCTCCTCCTCCTCCTCCTCCTCCTCCTCCTCTTCCCCATCCTCCTCCTCCTCCTCCTCCTCCTCCTCGAGGAGGAGGAGGAGGAGGAGGAGGAGGAGGAGGAGGAGGGGGAGGAGGTGGGGTCCGAGTGGGCGGGGTCGAAGGATCGCACCGCACCGCCGGGGCATCGCCGACGCATCGGCGATGCATCGGCGACGTCGGCGAGGGGAGGCACGGACTCCAC